TTTCCCTTATGGAACAGAAAATCCTACAGCTATAGGAAAGCTGGTAGTTTACATAGGTTCCTCAGTAAGTAAAACTTCTTAGATCCAAGCCCTGTCTGCCTATGTCCAAATCTCTTCCAACACATCAAAATGTTTCCTGTCTTGCCAATTAGCCGGTGATGAGAAAATGTTTGCTATCCCTCAGACTGGCTTGTGATGTACTTGTTGCATTGCAGTTTGACTGCATTCTTGTGTGTGTATGTGTGTGTGTGTGTGTGTGTGTGTGTGTGTGTGTGTGTGTGTGTACATATGTACATACATACAGGTACATATGCATGTATGTACATGGAATCAGAGTTTGATACTGCATGTCTTTTCCAACTACTCTACACCTTAGTTTCTGAGACATAATCTCTCACTGAACCCAGGGCTCATCAATTTGCCTAAACAGGCAGACCTTCAAGCTCTAGGGGCCCTCCTATGGCTGTCTCCCAGTGCCAGGGTTACAGGCACACACTGCTGCACCTGGATTTTGTATGGGTGTTAGTGATGGAGCCTGGTTTCTTCACGTGTGTGCTATATAAACATGTTACAGACTGAACTATCTCTGCAGCCCCCAGTAGCCTTCTCTTATAATGCTCTTATTAAGCTGCCTCAGATATATTTTGAAAATAGGCAGGAGTGTAGTCAAAAGTTTTCCTGTGTCCCACCTGGTCCCACAGCCACTCAGACTGAAATAAACATACAGAGGCTTATATTAATTATGAACTGTATGGCCATGGCCTATGGCTCAAGCTTCTTGCTAGCTAGCTCTTATAACTAAACTCAGCCCATTTCTATTAATCGATATGTTGCCTTGTGTTCCATGGCTTTATCTGTGTGCCATTACATGCTGCTCCCTGGATGGTGGGTGGCATCCCCCTGCCTCTCCCTTCTCCTTTTACTATTTCCCTTGGATTTTCCCACCTGCCTCTAAGCTGCCTTGCCATAGACCAAACGGCTTTATTTATCAACCAATCAGAGCAACACATATTCACAGCATTCAGAAAGACATCCCATAGGATGGGAGATAAGTTTCAGATAAGCAAATTTATCAGGACACACATACAAGACACACATTCAGTGTGTCTGCCATCTGCATGAATAGCTAGCTAAGGACCCTGTGACTGAGAGAACAAATGTGTCATTGAGTTTGAATCCTGAGTTGAGCATGCAGTAATTCTGGAGAAGTTTCTCTCTACACAGAAACTAAGAAAAGCACTTACTGAGTCGCTCTATTGTCATCTGTTTCTATAATACTGGACTTACCAACAAAATTTCACAAATAATATAGAATGATAACAAGATATAAATTTAGAGAATAAAGACTGTATTTTTCTTAAAGGTCTGCCACAAACATTGGAAACTGCACTTTGGCCCACTCAATATCTGGCTAGAAGTTGGGTGTTGCTTGATTCTGGTTCCCGCAGACTTTATATTCTTGGAAAGTAAGAAAAGTAGGTCAAAGGAGATAGCATGACTGGAATTCACAAGCTGCAGAGAGCAAGCTAGGAAAATTTAAGAAAGACTTGCATGGAAATGCTGGCCAGCTCACTAGTGCGAGGTATGTTCCCTGCCAGCTTTAATCCTGAGGACAGAGAGAGACACATGCCAGCACTCTGTGATATCATGCCACTCAGAGATTTCCCCTACTGTTCTCCATTTCTGGACAACAGCTTGTCCCTAGCTGCTTCAAACCTCAAGATGCTCTTCCCTGAATCTTAGGAGCTGAAATAGACATTCTACTATCCCTGAACTTGGACTCTGCGCATAAGGAGTCAGTCTTCATCAGGACCTCTGAAAACAGCTCCCTAAGATGGTTGTGGCAAGGTGGTGCAACAGGCATGCTGTGGCCATGACTGTGGGCCTGCCCCTTAGCCTCTGCACCACTGACCAGCAGGTATGTGTTTACCAGCATTCTAACAGCTGCCATCAAAGTAGGGTTATCTTGGGGACAACACAGACCTCTTCCTAGGGCAATTACTTTCGGTTCTCCTCTGTGGGAGCCACTTGTCCTAGAATGTGGGCAAACAAGAACACGATTCTCTGTGTCACAGGGAACTTAGTGGTCTCCCACAACATCATCTTCCTTCTTTGTCCTGCTCTTAAAAATTTTGTTATGTTATATCATTCTGGAACTTTCCCCTTGGTCTACATAAGTACTCTTTTTTATTTCTCATTGACATGGTTCCGTGGAGGTTTATGAATGCCCCAAAAGCTAGCATCCATTTCAGTGTGGCAAAATTTGGGCTTCAGTGAAATCTCTAGTATCAGAAGCTAAACATCTTAAAAAAATAAAAACACAAACAGGAAGCCAGTTTATCTCAGTTCTCAGGAGTTACTGTAATCCATCAATGGGGTGGCTTGAGAGGAATAGAAATTTGTTTGTTCTAGAGACTAGAAGGCTTATGTGAGGATGTGACAAGATTCAATTCTAGCAAGAATTCTCTTTCTGGTTGCAGAGTACCAGCATCCTGTATCCTCACATAGTGGAAGCAAAGGAGCTACCTTCTCTGGCTTTGTCTCACAGGGCCATTTATGCACCCCCTCCAGGGCTTTTATGACCTTAGTGGCTCTGAAAGGTCTTATTTCTAAATATTGTCACACTGGGAGTAGAGTTCCACATATGTGCTTATGAGTGGACAGAGCATTCACTCAAAAACATGTCCATAATAAACAATGAAGCATGATTTTTAGGGATAAATATTATGAATAATAATATACGAACACAACAGAAATAATAAATACAACAATCTTCATTAAAGAAATGTTAGACTGGAAGGAGTGAATGCAGATTTAGTTAGTTTTGTAGTGTACCAGGAAAAATGTGAGATGCTTTTCTCATTATCTCACTTAGTATTTAAAGCAAACCTGTAGTACTGGAATCAAGGTCTTACACTATTATTGCTTTTATTCCATATGTTAAGGAATTGAGGACTAGTAATAAACCTTCATATCAAGGTCAGACGAGGAAAAGGGTCCCACCAGCAGACAAAAGAGTCAGACACCCTCACTCCTACTGTTAGTTATCTAACAAAACCCAACCTCAACAACCACAGCTTGTATACAGAGGGCCTAGTGTAGACCATTGAAGGATAGTCTCATTGCGTCTTGTTAGGCTGTGTTTGGTTGATATCATGGGAAGGCCTGCTCTTTTCTAAAGAAAAATGGAGGGGCAGTGATCTGGGGTAGAGGGGTAATAGGGTGGAGCTGGTAGAAGGAGAGGGAGAGGAGGCTACACTGGGGATGTATTGTATGAGAGATGAATAAAGAGAAAGAAAAATGGAATGCATAATAATAGCAATAATAATATTTTAATTGAAAATTTTAAAGGTTAAAAAGAAATTGAGGATTAATATGATAAAATAATTCCTCAAGATTACCAATTCTATTATCATTTGCTTACAAAAATACAGTGAACTTTAATTTTTCCCACAAAGTTCTTCAGATGGCTATAAACATGGGTTTAGATAGCTTCCCTCATATTTTCAGTACGTTAGGGTCAAGAGTAGCTTAATTCATAGCTCTAGGAATTTAGTGGGACAAAGAGATATCTAGACCATTCCCTTCATGGCCACTTACCTGTCTAGGACAATGGCTCAAGTTTGCTTATGTGGTCGTGAGTGGTCCACAGCCACAAGATGGGCAAAACAGATGTGTTCAAGCACTTGAAAGCTATTGCTGGGCTTGCCAATATCCTATTGGTAAAGTCTGAATTCAAAGGAGTGAGAAAAGGAGAGTCTATTTTTTCCCTTGAATGTGCGAGTGGCTGATCCCAATATAATATAAGAGAAATATGGATGGGGACAGGAGAATTTGTCAGCTTTTATGACCCATAAGGACCTAGGATGGAGCCGGGCGTGGTGGCGCACGCCTTTAATCCCAGCACTCGGGAGGCAGAGGCAGGCGGATCTTTGTGAGTTCGAGGCCAGCCTGGGCTACCAAGTGAGCTCCAGGAAAGGCGCAAAGCTACACAGAGAAACCCTGTCTCGAAAAAAAAAAAAACAAAAAAAAAAAAAAAAAAAAAAAAAAAAAAAAAAAAAAAAAAAAAAAAAAAAAAAAAAAAAAAAAGGACCTAGGATGGGATTAAACCTCAAGAAATCTCCTACAGCCATATTGTTTTACCTAAACACACCTCAATGACACTCTTAAGGTATTTTCTGTAGATTTAATACAAGCAGCAAGAATTACTCTGAGGCTTATAGTCATATGTTAGTTAATGAAGGGACCATGTTCTAGGAAGTATCATTATGTGGAAAATATAGAATCTGCATACACAAATTTAAGTGTTATACTTTTAAGCTATAGACCTGGAAAGCATGCTGCTATATTGAATACTAAGCAATTGCCACAGAGTGGTAAGAAATTATGTATTTAAATCAGTCAAAACAAAAAAAAATGCAAAGAAGAAATATGGGGTGATCAGAACTTTTCAGCTCTTTTATAATCTTAAAAAATGTCATTCATCACCAATATTTGCCCACTGATCAAAAAATTGTAACATGAACATTCCTTTAAGAGAAGCAAACACTTGTGAGCACATTTAGATGCTCTAGGCTCTAAGGACCAGTGGAATAGCCATACCATTTTAACCTTTTGTCAATATTCCTCCTTCTTGATTTTCCAGCTTTGGAGATGTCTATGGAGCTCATTGCAGACACTCAGCAGTTGCTAGGAACCATGACATAGTATATTATGTGAATGGTTACAGAAATCAGAGAAACAGTCTCATGATTCCCACTCTAGTGTCATATCATATGAGCCAACCCATAACAACTAATGATCTCAATTACAACAATTCAAAGAAATAGCCAATGAACCCAAGATGTTGGCACTAATAGCCAGGTAGTTCATTGAGTTTTGGGTACCAGGGTGTGGAAAAATATTTAAAACAAGTTTCACATGTTTAAAGTCTTGTGTACAGAACAAAGTAGGCTGTACTTCCAATCATTCCTTCTTCAAATATTTATTGAGAGCTGACAGATATGGTCCTGACCTGGTAGAGGTTTTAGTTCATTAAAAGAGGGAGCATGTCAACAGACCTCAGATGAGCTGATAGCAGAGGGTTGAAATATCCAGCAGGGGTGGTCGAACAAGGCCTTTCTGAGGAGGACATTAGAGCAAGACTCAGAATGATCCGAAGAACATGTTTCCATGAGGAGCTGGAAGTGAGGCATTTCAGAGGTGTGCAGAGTAAATTGAGAGCTTAGCTGACTGGGACTTGTATGCTGCAAGGAAGAAACAGAATGGAGTGGGTACAGAATTTGCTTCTTGCCCTCTATTCTCTTTCATTCCCCTGCACCAGCCAGTGTAGTAGTTCTATGAGAAAACAGCTACAAAACCAGCAAGGTGTGTAAAAACACATCTAATAAAAATACCTATTTTTAAATAAGGAATATGATTTGCCACCCCAAAGAATATTTTTAAAAAACATATTAGGTAGTTTATGGCTTCAAAAATCAGCATTCATAAGAATGATGGTTATTTCTTGATTAAAAATCTAATACCAAAGTATAATACTAATATATTAGTGAATGCCTATGGGATTAAATGGTTCTGAATATATCTATACTTGAGTGTCACTTAGTAATTACAGTAACATCATGAGGTAGGAACACATATTTGAAATTGGTTAAAAAATAGATTAAGAATTGCAGCATAATTTCCTTTGGTGTTCTAAAGCACTAAGATCATTAAAAAGAAATTTTCTCGAATCTTTTCAAAGTGTATTTTTGCTGTCTTCCTACTTTTTGTGTAATTACCCCGTAGTTTGTCAGGCAAACCATGGTTTCCCTCCTTTTAAACATCAGTGTTATCATTATTTTAACTTAACCAATTGCTACTGACTTAGCAAATATTTACAGTGTGTTGCTCTGTACCTAGCCCTGGAAGTTATTAGAAATACAGACATACAGGACAGGGTGTCTGCCTTTTGGAATATCTATTAAAGCTTTCCAAGTGAAAATTTAGAATTGACCAATCACTAAAGTTCTTCAGTATTATAGAACTACCTCTTATAATATGTTATTTCCTAGCCAACATGGTAAATAGAGAAGTGCTTCTAAATCTTGATAGCAACTCTTATGGTTTGAATGTGACATGGCCCCCATATAGGCTTGGACACTTGGTACCAAGCTGCTATCAGCTTGGTGATATTTTGATACCTTTAAGTGATAGAGTCTTTCAGGGTCGACTGGTGGTAGGCCTTAGAGTTGTATAGACTGGCCGATTTCCTGGTCACTCTTTTTTTCCTCATGCAATGTGGCCAGATGGCCTCCTGCCCCACTAGCATGCTGTCCCCTCCTGTTGTCATGCCTTTCCTAGGATGATGGAATGGTCCTCTTGAACTGTAACTCAGAATACAATAAGACCTTCTTCCTTTAAATTGCTTCTTGTTCACATCAACAGGAGAAGTAACTAATGCAACAATACAATGGGTTTGCTATGGATGTTACAAGTCATGAGTTATGTCAGAAAAATGGAAGAGTTCAAGTGCAAGTAGCTTGGTTGATTATGTAAACACTAAGCATTTTGTGTGTGTGTGTGTGTGTGTGTGTGTGTGTGTGTGTGTGTGTGTGTGTGTATGGTGATATTTTATTTGTGCTGAAATGTGATTTTATTTGTATGTTAATAAATAAAGTTGCCTGGGGGCCAGAGCTAATAGCAAGCCATTTAGCAGAAGCCTGGCAGTGGTAGCACATGCCCTTAATCTGATCACATGGCAGGCAAAGTCTGTGTATTCAAGAACACAGCCAGCTTGGTGACACACACCTTTAATCCAAGTACCAACCATAGAGACCTGGAGGTCTGTATAGACAGGCAGTGATGAAGAAGTCATGTTGTTGGGTTTAGAACCTATGAGAAGCAGAACAGAAAGTCAATAAAAAGACAGACACACAGGAAGTAGGTGTCTTTCTCAGGGGAAGGACGGCAGTGCCTGGTAAGCTAAAGGCTATTTGCTGGTGCTCTGACCTCTTGGGCTTTTAACTCTTTATTTGGTTCTGTGTTTCTTATTTAATAAGACTGTTTAGAATTACATCTACATGTGTATGTGTGTGTGCATGTGCGTGTGTGTTTAATGGAAAACACCCAGATATAACAGAAGAAAAACTGCAGGGGTTTTGTGGTACATTGAGGCTGAAATGCTATACTTTAAGGCATGACCTGTGATCTAGTTACTAGTATACCTACAAGAGGTGCAGAAACTAAGGTGCTAACAAAACCCAGCTCTTACCATGGAAGTCTACAGTCTGATTTGGATCAAAAGTATCAGGATTTGGGAGGAAGGTAAGGAAGATAGAGGAACATTCAATAGTTGAGTCTCCTGGTAAGGGACTAGAATCTTTGAGGCTGTGTGTTTATGTAGTTTTAAGATATAGTTTAATTTTACTTTATGTGCATTGGTGTTTTGCCTACAGGTATGTCTGTGTGAGGGTGTCAGAAACCCTGCAATGGGAGTTATAGATAGGTGTGAGCTGCCCTATGGATGCTAGGAATTGAACCTGGGTCCTCTGGAAGAGCAGCCAGTGCTCTTAACTGCTGAGCCATCTCCCCAGGCCCAATGTGATCTAGACTTTTGTTGGCACTCAGCCAAGTGTAAGCAAGTAGGCTCTGCGATCATAGTGTTTCCATGTAAATCAGAATAATACATCTCTGTCTTAAAGATGTTGTTGTGATGGATGTTCATATTTGCTGAAGAAAATAATGCCTGGCTGTAGCATGTTTGGTGTTAGGAGATACTATGAGAAAATCCACTATTGATGATCAAGTAATTTAGAATGTCAGTCTCCAAAAGACAAGATGACTTTGCTTCAGAGGCATTTGACTTAATGACAAAATTCAGACAAATTTTACTATAATCAAACATGTAGTGAGTACTAAGTGTGCAATTTCTGTCATTTCAGCTTCCAATGAGAAACCTTTCATTGCATGGGAACTGCAAAATCCTGCTGAATGACCTGCAGATATCATAGAGTATGAGGATATTTTTTGATAAAAGAGTGGTAGTTATAAACCTCAAAATGTGTTTAGTGACTGATACTGGCCCACAGGAGCCTTGGATACGATTTCAATTAGATGACTTGTGAGCCCTTCCTTAGCCCAGCTGGTAGCACAGAAGACTATAGGAGGTACTCTTGATCACATGAAGGTCATGAGTAGGTCAAATTTGTAACTTCTTACAGAGGTCAAGGAATTATCTGGGAAGAGGTGTGACTTTTTTTCTGAAATGATAGAAATATTTTATATCTTGTTTGGGGGTGATATTTTTACCTGAGATTTATGCATTTTAATGTATGTAAATTATACCTAAATTAAAATGAATGAAACTGAACACTTCAGATTTATGCATTTTAGTGTATGTAAATTATACTTTAATTAAAAATGAATAAAATTGCAGGTACATGTACCTGTTAAATATAGTGATTCTCAAACATTGTTTTTTGGTGATGAACTAATCTTCATGTAAATACATTGATTACTTCTGATTTAAATGGGTCTTTGTTTTACTAATTCAGCAAATAACAATTTTAAGTATGTCTTAAAACCTATGAAATCTTATGAATTTTCCAATTATAATTTATTACAAATGGTATTGTAAGCTGAGGTTTGCATCCTGGATCTTACCTCCAATTGTGCTGCCAGTCTTATGTAAGCTCTTCTTTTAGAAGAGGGAACCTCAGGTGAGAAAATGTCCCACCATACTGGCTTGTGGTTCATTTTTTTGATTGATAATTAGTGTGGGGGGACCCACCCAGTTTACTGTCATTGGCACCACCCATGAGCAAGTCATGAGAAACAAGCCAGTCAGCAACACCCTTCCAACCTCTGCTAAAATTTCTGCCTCTAGGTTTCTGCCTTGACCTCCTGTCCTGACTTCCCTGGATGATGGCTATATGATAGAAGATGAAATAAACCCTCTCCTCCCAAAGTTGCTTTTGTTCATGGTTTTTATCACAGCAATAGAAACCCTAACTCAGATACCTATGGACTGATATTGTTATGAAAACAGATAATTTGAAGCTCTCCGCAATTACATATATGTATATTATAAATGAGACAGTGTGTATTGCAATCCCCCTGTTTGCTCTGTCATCAGGGGACCAGGAGTCTCAGCAGCCTGTTAGGAATGTAGAATTTCAGGTCTAACCCTAAACTTAATGATGCTGAACCTGTATTCTTGCAAAAATACCCAGGTAACTATGCATGTTAAAGTCTTGAAACATGTATTATAAATTTCAAGTTAAGATATGAATGCCATTTCTGTAGTGAATGTTTGGCCATAAATTCTGCATGTGCATTTCCCATGTTGGCTTGTGATCATTCATTCAGTGGCCAACAGGATCCTGATGAGTGACTGAGTGAGTTGGTGGTGGAGGGAGCTGAGTTAGGATAGAACACTCTCCTAGGACTGCATGTTCAGCTAGTTTTACGAGATACAACTTTATACCAAGTAGTGCATGTTGACTCTTGCCTATGTGAATATAGTATATAAGATTCCAAAGACAATAAAAAGTTTTCAGCCTGGAATTTAATTTTCTTACCTCTAATCTGTATTTAGTACAGTGAACAATGAGACATCCAGCTGAGCAAGCAGCATTTGCATCATCCAGAGCTCTTACCTCTGTATGATCTTTGTGATTCTATTCCCTAGTGACTACCTTTTCAAGTCCCGTCAGACCTGTCTTCTCATTTTACTAACAAAAACCTCTTAATTAGATTCCAACCCAGGTGACCCCACATATTCATGTCCACTTTTTGCAGCCCAGAGAAAATAGTCACACACACACCCCATTGTAAGCTCTTCTTTCATGTGACCTTTTACCTAGAAATGAGTTCCAAACTCGGCCCGTCTCTCCTGTCTAAACTGGCCCCTGTGTACTCTACAGCCATATCCCGCCCCTCTTGGCCTTATTTACTCTGCAGCAGCTGCATTGCCATCCATCTTCTTGAACATCCTGCATGCCATCCTGCATCACAACTGCCATTCTCTTACCTTGATTTTTCTGCTCTTCTCCTTTAATGCTGAGCTCATTTTCATCCTTAAGTCCCACCTAGTCTCCTGTCTCTTCAGAGGTGACTCTTGGTGTTGACTTCATATAGTCCCTGTTCAGTCTCCATTTCTGCCCCATGCTTCTTTCCTTTATAACATTTTATTACAAATTATAATTGGTCTCCATATTGGTCCTTATATTTTTGTCTCCCCCCTTAGAATAGCAGGGTTCATGATGGTATTGCTCCCCATTGCATTTCCAGTTTTCAGCTCAAAGCCTGGCATTTGGGTAGATTCTTAATACACATGTTCTATGATGACTGACTACCTGAGTGAAGGGTGCATACATGAAAGAATTTGCTCCTTTGCATAATGGCTGCTGTCTGGAATTAACTTCCTGCTGAAGTTTAAAAAAAAAAAAAAAGATGGGGCTATCTATTTTAAACTGATCATCCTCATATTACACTGCTGAATGCATTGTTATAATTATTTAAAAATGCTGTGAAGTGAAAGAGTTGCAGGATTTCTTTCTACAGTTTGTTTGCTTTGCATCCCTGCAACTCCCACAACCTCCATCTATTGGCAAGAGTGGTTCCTTGCAGTAATCTCATCAGCACCTGGTCCCTTGACTCTTGTCATTGGAAGCCACAGACAAAATAAGAGTGCCATCACCTTTAATTAGCAGGAAAAGAGTTGACCTTAAATACACAGATATTGCCTTGGAAACAAGAAACGAAAAAAATGTAAAGCAGGGCCAGGTTCATGGGAAAGAACTACAAAATGGAAAAGAGTAATTCTCTTGTTTTAACATAATGTTGTTAATCTGTACTACCCATTATTATCTGGAGTGTCTTGCCTGTTGAAGGATGCAGGATTCAGGGCTACTTCTTGCTCCAGTGGTGTAGCAGAAGGGATTGGCTCCCTATCCATCATAATAATTAGTTTGTCATAATTTTCTGCCCTTCTTGGCTCTGCAGTAAAAAATAGAAGAGGCATTTAAAGTTCCTCAGGACTAGTTCCCTAAAATTCTTTATGGGAACATATTGCTTTATTTCTCCCCTATTTATTTTATATTTGGCCCTTGATAATGAATTCATCTGGAATTATATAGCTTTAATTTCCATGTTCTACTTGGGGACATCTTGCTGTTTCATTTTGTTTTGGATTACAGTATATAAAAAGGACTCACACTTCTTTCTGAACTCACCCATCACCCATCCGAGTTAATTCTAGTCTTGAGACTAGCATTATGACATCATGAACTGATTGCATAATACCATACACTAGATCCTCTACTGTCTACAAAATGTTTTTCTTATTTTATTCCTGAATTCTCACAACAGCCATGGAACATAGAAAGGTGAGGGTTATTTTTCCACATGCCCATTTGACAGGATGTAGAGCAGAAAAGTCAGCTGACTTGCCTAGGGTTATGCTGTTGAAACAAAGAGGTACTAAAATTAAATCCTTATTGTATGTCACAGCTCCTCTCCATCATTTAAGCACATTCTGCTGGGATTTGTTTCTGTTGCTATATGGACTGGACAATGTCAGTTATTCCTTCCATTGCCATTGTGGGTAGAATAAGATGTCCTTTCTGGGGTAGGAAAGGGCAAAGGTGGATGGTATAAAAACATGGGGATGCTGGCCTAGGGCCGAGTTCTCAAGATTTAGGTTCCAGACCACCAGCATTAGCATCACCAGGGAGCTTATTAGATGTGCCAAATTTCAGATCCCATTTCAGATTGCATACTGATGGAACGTATGGATTGAGCATCCAGCTTTAACACTCCTTCCAAGACCCCAGCTTCCACTCCAGGTGATTCTGATAGAGGCTAAAGTTTCAAACTTGCCTAGGGAGATAGAGAAACACATGAGAATAGAAAGAGAGCTTTGTGTACCCAGGGAATGCTCTGGAGCAAAGCTGTTGGGCTCTGATCACAGTCTATCCTTACTTCATTCACCTACAAACTACTTATTGAGCATTTTTTTTGTGTGTGCCAGGTACAGATACTTAAGGTATAAAGTAGAAAATAACAATTTGCCTCCATGAACAGGTTGTCCCTCCTTATACAACATGGTTTAGTGACAACAGGCAAATCGCTCTGTCCTTTGTTTCTTGGCTGGCAAAAGAAGATTATTGTATCAATGGTGTCTGGTTATACCATTTCCATTGACTGTGAAAGTTACAACACCTAGTACCTGTGGTACTATTTTGTTTGTGCTGAAATGTGGTGATATTTTATTTGTGCTTTAATAAAGCTTGCCTGGAGATCAGGAGAAAAGGCCAGCTATTTTAAGTAAACAAAAAGTCAGGCAGCACTCGCCCTTAATCTGATCACTTATCAGGCAGGGTCTCTGTGTATTCAAGGCCATCCTAGGGAACAGAGCCATGCATGGTCACACATGCCTTTAATCCCAGTACCAACCATAGAGACCTGGAGGTCTGTGCAAATAGGCAGTGACATGAAAATGAGGTAGCTGGGCTAAGATAGCCAATGAGAGGGCAGAACAGCAAGGCAATAAAGGTGTGGGTAAGACAGGAAGTAGCTCACATTTGGTAGCTGCAGAGTTGGTGAGGTAAGGTTAGCTGTGGCTTTCTCTATTTCCCTGATCTCTCTAAGGCTTTTACCCCTATATTTGGCTCCATGTTTTATATTTAATAAGACCGGTTAGAAATTCATTTACCAGTGCCTATGTAGTTAGTGTGCCTTCTTTTTCACCACATACTCAGTTGCCTGGTGCTATGGACAAACCATTGGTGTTATCGTCCTTAACTGAGATCACAAATCTTAAAGAAATGTGGCATTTCCTAGACACGTGAGACTGACTGACGTCACCCATATGTTTAAAGTAGAAGCTCAGAACATTACATATGGAAGCATCCTGAGGAGTCATATCCCCAGGTGATAGATACCTGTTGGTGAAATATCCAGTTTGGGGCATCATTTGAGTACCATTATGGCAATATTGACCCACTTCTTGTTGGATAAAAATGTTCCTGTCATTATTTCTGAGTCCTCTCATACAAGGACATGGCTAAGAGATGATTTCAGACTACACATCCTTGTTTGAGGATATCTTCAATTTAAAAGTGATCCAACCGCTTCACAAAGACAGACATAGAGTAAAGATATGGGCATCTCTGAATGTTTCTTCAGGTCTTCACCTCTCTAAATGTAAGGCTGTCTATGCCAAGTTCAAAGCCTGGCTAAATCTTAGCTCCTCAAAGCTCCCCAGTTGGGTCAACCTGAGTGGAATTCATGGGTAAGAGGTTTGGCCCTCCCTACAGCCCTGACATGGAAACCTCAATGAGGCTAGCCTCCTTAGAAGCAAATCCTACACTAGTGTAAACCATGGTGAAAACTACATTAGAATATGGTGTGAGTGGAAGTCAAATGTTGACCTTCTGTTCCATCCCAGCATGAACACTGTGTGGTGGCCTTTGTGAGTATTCTGAAGCGGGCAGGTAAACAGAGCAAATGAATGTATGGGCATCAGAGGAAGAAGCAGTACAGATAGGTGGGGAGCATTGAAAAAGAAAGAAAAGATGGAAAAGGAAAGGAAGGGAAAAGGCAGAAGGGAGGGGAGTTGGGCCTACAGAGAGCAAAGTCCACACACAGAGCTGGAGCTGTCTGAGGAAGTTCTCTCGTTGACTCTTAGTTGTGTTTCAAATACCCTGTAGCCAGCTGTGGCCCAGGTGGCCCTGTAGACTGTAAGGAGGCCAGTCCTTGTTTGGTTTGCTTTCATGGACCCTTAGGATCTACCATGCTACCCATTCTGCCATGCTGGTCTCATACCTCTACCTCCTCTTGACTTGTAATCCTTGGAGAATGGGAGCCCTGTGTTAAGGACACATTGTTTCCCACTATGCTCAATCAGTAGGGATTCACAGTCAGCAGGGATCATGATGTTTGTACAAAATAGTGGGATTATTTGCTGGAGACTTATTCTATTTCTTGGGGAAAAATAGACCCACTGGGTGTCATTTTCCTAATGCACTCTGTTGATCATTAGACACAATAATGCCCCCTTTTAAATGTTTCTTGATGATAAAACATTACTGAGTTCAAATTTACTGGGGGTTTGATTTAATTGGTTTGGTTTTCTTCCAGCCCCCTCCCTCTAATAAGAAGAATGATTTGGAGGAGAAACTCATATTTCAGATCTAAATTTAAAGAACTCATACTTCATTGCTCAGCTAATTAAATTTGCAATAGTCTCTTTAGAAATATATATGGACTTATTTTCCCTTTCATATTCTCCTTATCTTCCTGTTAAGAAGCAGCAAATGCAGCATCACACACATTACTGCACATGACAGTTATTTACAGATTGAAGTGATTGATTTCCTAATGATCATTTAATTTGATTATTTTCTTGGCACACAGCCTCTAAGACCCCATGGCTTTTCTTGCTCACACATTGTACAGTATGTTACTGTCTCATACAGCTGTACTGAGACCCACAGCTCATTTGGGTTTGGCTGAGGAACTAAAATTTGGGGGTTTCCTTTCTGCTTGTAGCTAAAAGCCAAAGTTTAGGCAGTTTGTCTACTATTCAAGAATCTGCAAAAGTCAAAATCATGGCCTAAGATGGATCATTGAAATTTCCATTGTGAGAAAAAGTACAGGCTATACATATTTCCAGTTCCATGACAGGAAGTTGTCAAGTTGTGAAATCAGCCAACTTCTACAATAATGCACTGAATGTTATGTAGCATTTAAAAAACTTCACAGCCTGTTTGTCATACCTATAACTTTGGATACCTCTGTAATATGTGTTAGGATCTTTGCTAAAATACTTAGGTTTATTCTCTTACAGAATCTTCTAATCTTATTGTGTTAGCTATTTTCCTTGTTGCTGTGACAATATACCTGATGCGACAGCTTGAGGAAAGAAAGTATCATTTTGGCTCACTGCTTGAGAGCACATTCCATCTGGGCAGCTGCTTTCCTACATCTGTAGCCAGGAGTCGAAAGAGAGAGAGAGAGAGAGAGAGAGAGAGAGAGAGAGAGAGAGAGAGAGAGAGAGAGAGAGAGAATGAGTGCTGCTGCTCTGCTCACTTTCTCCTTTTGATTCAATCTGGAACCCAACATACAGAATGGTGACTCCCACAGTTAGGTGGGGTTTCCTACCTCAAT